TTTTTTTTTTTTTTTTTTTTTTCAATTTTAACCAACTACGGAAATGTAGAGCTTTCAATCCTTTGATGTTTCCCCAGAAAGAAACTGTTACATCGGGTTGCGAAATTACATCGTCTCAGAGCCAGCGAACCAGCCGTGGAGTGCTAAAATAATTTAATTAAAAATAATAATAATATAAGGACCCGAGCTTCCGCAGAGGCACTTAAAAGCTGACACGTGCCCCTCCATCTCCCCTCTCCCTAGCGCTCCCGATGTTTCCTGACTGCCGTTTGATGGGAATAATTAAAAATAAGATAACCCCACGCTAGCAGGGAGCTCGCATCCCTCGCTTGCAGCACGCTGTCCTCACCCTGCCCCTGCACGGCCGGCCCTACCGCCCAGCTCCGCTCCGCAGGGGCAGAAGAGCATAAAAAAGCAAATCGCTAAAATCATAAATCAAATGTTGGACTTTTACCATATTAACACTAAATAAAATTGTAACCGGCTACCCACTTTCCCCCTACTACAAAACCCCTTCACCTGTATTTAAATAGCACGTCTTTAATTACAGCAGTTGGGGATGTATGAGGCTGAAATGAAATTAGCAGTCATTACCAGTCCTTTAACTCTGTGGTGCTTTTGATCAGCACTAAATTAGCTTTCCAGTCCTAACAAAGGCTCTATAGCAAGCAGTGGGCTGTAAATAAGACAGCTCGACCTGCCCTCAACACCTTTTCTCTTGTCAATCACAGCTCTATCATTCAGCCCAAGATTAACCTTTATCTACCAAATTCTTACCAAAAAAAAAAAAAAAAAAAAAAAAGAAAAAAAAAGGGCCGAGGCTGGGGAGGGGGGGAGGAAGAGGGGGGAAGTCCAACCTCAACTTTGCTAACTGTATCTAAAAAGAGCTTCTCTTTAAACAGTATTATAATGAGCCCAGGTGTCAAAATCTGTCCTTTCCCAGCCCCAAGTGCATCCGAAGGCAATCAAACGTATGGATGATTTATTATCACCGGAGCGCTGCCCGGCCATGCGCCGCCTTTCCCCCCCGCTGTACCCCCTTCTCGGGCGTGCGAGGCCCGAGGAGCCCCGCCGGGCTGATCCCCCCTTTCCCCGGGATGGGGCCGGGAACGCCGCGCGCCGCCGGAGGGATCGGGCCGGGAACGCGCCGCGCCGCCCACAGGGGGCGGCAGAGAGAGGCGGCCGCGGGCCCTCCGCCAGCGCTGCGCGCCCGGGAACCCCCGCGGCGGCCGCTCCGCGCCCCGCGCACGGCCCCGGCCCTGCGGACCCACCTCCCGGCGAGGGGAACCCGCGGCGCAGCGCTGGGAGCGCCGCGGTGGCTCCGTGCCCGCCGCCCAGAGCGATGCGCGCTGCGCAGCCGGGAGCTGCGCGCCGCTCCGCGGGGAGCGCCGAAATAGCGGCCCCGTCTGAAACACCCCCGGGGCGCGGCGGGGGAGCGTCCCGGCTCCGCTCCAGCGCTCTCCGCGGGCCGTGTGCTCCCGGGGAGAGGGGAAGGCAGGGCAGAGGCAGCCTGCGGACCGGGAGCGCCTCCGCCCAGCCGTGCGCTCGGCGCTGCGCGGCCGCGCAATTTCAGCCGACCCCAAACCCGCGCGCGAGTTCCCCGAGGTTAAGGCGGCGGAGCTCGGGCCGGCGAGTCGTAGGTGGGAAGCTACACTTCCAGATCATTTTAAAGGTCACGGGGGAGGAGGGGGGAAAAACTGTGAATGTCAAAGTTGTGCTGCAGCTACTTACATGTCGGTGCCAGAGCAGGGTGGTGGCTGTGAGCGGTTTGATTGGCAGCTCAACGTGAAAGTCCGCGCGGACTCCGGAGCCCGGCGCAGCCCCGGGGGTCTGAGCACTTTTCACCGGACAGAGGCAGTTGAAGGAAGCTCTCACGTCCCCTTCTTTTCTCCTCTCCTCCTCCATCCAGGACAGAGAATGAATCCATTTCGGTTTTTCTTCCCTCGGCTCTCCTTCCGTTTGCCTACACATCCTCCAAGTCCTAGCCCTAGCTTTTAACTGCAGTCCCTGGAACAAGAGGGGAAAAAATCGTTTATGGCTTAAAAAATCCAAATGGCTGATTTCGTGTGTGTGTTATAAGAATGCACCCACAACAACAAAAAAGTCACTTCTCTGTCCCCCACCGTACAGCAGAAGAATAATAAAAAAGCTTTATATTTTTGCAGTGGGTATTCAAAGATAATTTGATGCCATTGTTTCTGCTACAGATGGTTCTTTTTAATACAATAACACTGCTCTTTGTGCATACTACACACAATAAAAATCGAAAGCGTTCTCCTGAATAACCATTTTGTTCTCGCTTGTATACAGGCCAACAAAAGCTGCCGTGAGGTAATGGGTTCTGTTTATTGAAGGCATAGAATAGAGGTTTGATAAAGATTTTTGTATATGGGGGAAAAAAAATTAAAATAAAGACCTTGCAAGGTCGAGCTGATCTCTGCGTATTTATTACCACTGAAATATTTTATCAATATATTTTTTTGAGTTGCAGCTGCAGGGATCCTTCCTCCCCTCCCCCCATCCATAATCAGCCCAAACATCTGTTTCTTTGAATTTGGGGAGATCTGTAGTCGTGGCCAGACCTAAAAATCCAGACTTTACGAGCCAGCGGGGCAAAGGGGCTCAGCGCGAAGGCAGCGGGCGATGGGGAGGCGAGGCTGAGCAGCCCCGGCTGTGCCTGTGCGCGCCTATCTTTGTGTGCCTTGCTTTGCAATCTGCTGTCCACGCACACGCGCACACAAAGGCGCAAACTGGTGCTAACGGCCGTCGGGATTAGCCCACGGGATTTTCCGGCGCGCGGCGTTTCCCTGCACTCCAACACCCTCCGCGGCGCGCAGCTCCCGCGCAGCGCGGCTGTTGCGCGGGTTTTGCGCGGCTGTTGCGCGCCGCCGCCGCCGCCCGTAAAGTTCCTCAGAGCCTCCAGAGCCGCCCCCACAAACGGGGCTCCGGGTGTTGCCCCGCCGGGACCGGGGGCTGCGGAGCGCAGCGGGCAGCGGCAACCGGGAGCCGGCGAGTGCCGAGGGTGCTGCGGGCTCCAGCAGAGTTCTGGTGCGTTACTAACTTTCTGTCAAGTAATGAATAAATTAGCACCGCTGAAGGGGGAAATAAATGTTAGAGGGACCAGTCAAGACCCCCAACGATTTTTTTTTTGTCGTGGAAATTGTTTCACAGGTCAAGAATTCTGCGCCCGAAAGTCGCCCAGTTACCTTAGTTTGGGATCTGGTTACTACTGTAGCAACTCGAAGAGAGCCCCAAAGCAGAAGAAAGTGCTTAGACAATGGGGCTCTGCGGGAAAGTTGTTAGTCAGTGACTGTGTTTGTCTACCTTTCTATAGGAATTAATGCCACAGTTCTCTGTGCCTCTGTAGCCTGGACTGACAGTAATCCACCTCTGTGACTTCTGCCCTTTGTGTTTTCACAAAACTCGGCTCACTTGTAGCACGACAACAGCATGGAATAATGACTTTAACCTTCAAACGTTCTTTAATTAGCTTTTTCAGCAAACTAAAAGATGCTCAAATGAGCCCTTTGACAAAAACTGACCTGAGCCTTCAAATTCTACTTTCACTTTTAGGACTAAGACGTTATTGGTTCACAACTCGTCTGAAGTCATCTAATAAGGGATTATTTAGGAACTATTACCCACACGCCAATTAAAGCCTCTCCGATGAAATTCGGGAGACAAAGATAAGCATCAAAACGGAAAATTAAACTATTTGCACATGGCTTGTTTTTCAACAACCCATTTTCCATCTCAGGATAAACATCTACGCGCCAGCTCGCTCCGTCGGAGCGGGGAGGGTGCGGGGAGCCTCTTCGGGGCGGCCGCGGAGCGGCGGCCGCGGCCCCGCCGGCAGCGCCCGCAGCAGCGGCCCCGCAGCCCCCGCACAGGGAGCCACGCTGCCGGGGACGGGCGAGCTCTGCTTTCCAGGCTTAACGCCAAGAGGAGGCTCGCAGGGAGGGTGGCAGAGCTCACCTCCGGGCACAGAGTTCAACCAACCTCCTGTCATTTTGCAATAGCCTTTACATGTTAAGGAGGAGCGGGGTGTGTGCGTGTGTGTGTGTGTGTGTTGAAGTGGCATAGAAGATCCAAACGTGCCAAAGTTCAGGGAATCGTGTAAGAACTTTCCTAAGACCCGCGAAGAAAGTACCGCTTCTCCTGAAGATGTATTTTATTTCTCAGAGCAGTGAAGGAAAGAAATTAGCAGGAAATGAGTATTTTGCTACCTACGGTGGTTCTCTGGGTTAAATGGGAACAAGGTTCTGAACAGTTTAATACTGACTTATCAGTGAAAGATGATATCTCTTTCTCTTTCCAGCCAGAATATCCCGATGGCTCAGAAATCTTACGTCGTTCTTAACCACTGGATAAAATTTTGGAGAGAGTTTCCAGACAAATTACAGCAGCATCCTACGGCAAGCTGACAAAGAGATTCCAAGAATGCCACGCATCTAGGAGGGAAATACGAATCCCTCTCTTTAGCCTGAAGCACGAAATTGGCTTAAAGCTCGTTTTGCAGATAACCAGAAACGAAATCAGCAGTGCGTGGACCGGGTGGCTACAACTTTCTAATGCTTTGCAGCAATTTCTAATACTTTCTGGAGGGAAAGAAAAACAAACAAACAAAAGTAAAAAAGTGAACCACAGATTGGAAGGGCTCTGAAAGAAATTCGCATCTCAACACGCATTTTTCGCCCTGGTCTGCGGAGGGCTGGTCTCCCACACGGGCATTGGTACCCTTAAGCCTCTGTGTCGAGACCGATCCTACGGGCTGGGAAAATGAATATCCTAGATTTGGACTTTCACAATTCATTTTAGGCTAGGAAAAAAAACCCCACCTGCATCCAGGTGCATAGATAAAATAACGGATCACCCCAAATAAGCTATAGATAGGTATATCTCGAAGTTGTGTGTTCAAACAGAACAGACCAATAAGGTGTTTACCAGACACGGTCTCCCGTGGAGGGGCTGAGTGCCGGAGTCTGACTCCCAACTGTGTCCAGAAAAAGAATAATTTCAGACTTTTGGAGTTCTGACCCAGGACAAAGCACTGAAACACTGGCGCTGTTTCAGAAAAGAGGGGGCAGCCAGGATGCTGCTGCTATTTTTCGCCCCTAGCCAATATTTCTGCCCTTGCCGTGTCCGACACTGCTCAGCCACAGCCTCTGCCGGGCTCCGCCGCGCACGGACCGCGCTCCCCCGCCCCGGGGCTCCGAAGTTAGTCTTCCCCGGAGGAGTAGAGGTTAACACCGAACTGCACAAGCCTTTCTTTCCCATTCTGGCTCGCTGACAAAAGGGTTAAAGTTTAATATCAGCGGGCTGCCCCGAATCACCGCCTGCCCACGGCTGCCGGCGGCCACGCGGGACCCGTCCCGGGCCGTCCCGGGTGGGGACAGCGGGTCCCGCCGCTCCCACACCCCTCGCCCCGGACTCTGGGGAGACTGCGGGACCCGGGTGTGGGGCCTGCAGCAGCGCTCGCCCACCCCCCGCTAACCCCGCGTTTCCTTCGGGACTTCTTTCCCGACCAAAGGAGTGTCCCAATCCATTTCTAGAAGTTCTCACACTCTCGTTTCACTTTAACGACGTTCGTGCTTTTCTAGTCAAAAAAGCTACGAGGGGGAGGCGTGGTGTGCTGTCCGGGCACCGGATGCTGAGGAATACAGTCCTCGGGAAGGATGGACACGCTTCCCACCACGCCGCAGACTTGAAACACACCACGTCTCGGGACACATCGATAGCAGGTTTTTTTTTTTTTGGTTGCTCTCCCCAGTCCTCCGGGATATGACGGTAGAAAATCCAGTTACTGAAAAGCAAAGAAGCTGTACCGCACAAGAGCAGCTCTGGAGGAGCGGCAGGTTTGCAGGACGGGCAGGCCCTTCACTGCATGGAAATCTATGGAGGAACTTTAGATGTGACTCCTAAAATTGCAGAGTTTTCCACTGTTTAGTTTTTTTCATGATTGCTTTGAGAGACCCAAGACCTGTTCATTTATTATCTCAACATTTACTGCAATATTTTTGCTATGGGTAGCTGTGGTGCCAAATATGCCTTTACTGAAAGGTGACCACATGGTATAGGATAAATTTCTCCTGTGAAGAAGAGTAGAAAGTATAGCACTGGTAATATTATGTATTTTGTCCAAATATCTCTGGCACTTTATACCTTTATACATTCATTTCCTTAGGTGGCAACATTCTTTGGAACTGGACTTTTTTTTTTTTTTTACATACTAAAGCTGAATTTATCAAATAAGTGAAACTTGTTTGAAATAACTCTTAAATTCCTGTGTATGCTATGTCTGCCTTACAAATATATTGATTCTAAAAATGTTTTGGCATATAAAAACAAAATAAATAAACAATGAGCATACATGTGTACACACTATATATATATACACCCACACACACACACACACTTTACATTGCAATCTTCCTGCCCATGCAGATGGTATATACTCTATATATGATAATATACAAATACAGTCTAGTGGCTGGTATATAATGTTGCACATTTAGAGGAGTCAGAAACTCCCTTCACTCATAATTCCACACATGGACATGGAGTTTGCATGTGCTCTCACATCTTAAACGATGTGGGAAACATGATTCTTAACGCTAAATTCTGAATATGTTACCATGGAGAAGGTGATAATTCACAACCTACAAGCAGGTCCTTTCTCAAAACTTTCATTACAAACTTATTTCTGCTGTTAGCAGGCTGGAACTTGGCAGGAGGATCCCAGTGAAGTCCAGAGAGCTCTTCACTGGCAATATTCTGACTGGCACTTTTTTTCATCATCATTTATTTAAGGGATGAATTTGGGGAAATTAATTTCTTTCTCTGTGGTTTCAGTATGGTTTCAAGTAGTCCATCACCACCTCATGACAGCAACATCTGCTGAGCCCCATAACTTGCAGTGACTTACTGACTTTATGAAGTAAATTCAGTTAATTTGAACACATCCACATTTAGTTAGACCCTCATAATACTTGCCCCTGTTGGTCTCA